AAATATGTGGGGTGAAGCTTTGTATACAGCCACGTATTTGTTAAATAGACAGCCAACGGAAACTTTGAAAGTTACACCATTTGAAATGCTGGAAGAAAGAAAACCGAATTTGAAAAATCTACAAATATTTGGTTCAGTTGCTTATGCTAAAATCTTAGGTCCTTTAAAGAAACTAGACAAAAGGAGTATGAAGTTACAATTCGTCGGATATGCTCCATCAGGATACAGATTATGGAACCATGATAAAAAACAAATAACTATAGCAAGAGATGTAAAATTCGAGAATAAAACAATTGTAAGAAATAAAGAGAAATGTAAGGTGAACAGAACATTGAATTATATAAATGAAGAAATAGAAGATTCAGAAAAAGAATTGGATGAAGTAAATCAAGAAGAACAGGATGAAGAATCTTTTGTCGAAGAAAGAGGAAATCAAGAAATTTCTAACGAAGATGAAAATGAAATAGGACAGGATGATACGGAAGATACACCTACAAGAGAAAATCAGGAAATAGAAAAGAGAAAATCGGAAAGGAATAGAAAAACTCCTGCCAAATTTAAAGATTATGTATTGGGAAAATTTAAAAACTATGTATACCTTACATATAAAGAAGCTATAAATGGAATAGACAAAGAAAAGTGGAAGAATGCAATCGAAGAGGAAAAACACTCGTTGAAGGAAAATAATGTTTGGGAGGTAATGGAAGAAGACACAGTAAAACTAGATAAACAGAAACCTCTACATAGCAAGTGGATTTTTCGCATAAAACAGAATGGCAAATACAAAGCAAGATTAGTAGTAAAAGGATGTGAACAAAAGGATACACTAGATTATCAAGATACATATAGTCCAGTGATTGGACAAAATGCTTTAAGAAGTATTTTTGCAATAGCAACGGCTAAAGAATATAATTTAATAACTTTTGATGTTACAACAGCATTCTTGTACGGAGAGTTAGAAGACGAAGTCTTTATGTATCCTCCAGAGGGTTACAATTACAAAAGAAAACTTCTCAAGCTTAAAAAGGCACTATATGGATTAAAACAAGCGTCGTTGAGGTGGAATATTAGGTTCACAAATTTCTTGAAAAAGAATGGTTTTGTACCTACGTGTAGTGAACAGTGTATTTTCAAAAGAACTGATGTTGACATGATCCTGAGTATTTATGTAGATGACGGACTTTTAATTGCAAGTGATACCCATCAAATGGATTTATTCTTAAAACGATTAACTGAAGAATTTAAAGTAAAAATCAATAGAAATACAAGATCTTATGTTGGGCTTGAAATATGTAAAACAGAAAACACTTTGTTTTTAAGTCAAAGAACTTATATTAATAAATTACTTGAACAAAGTGGTATGGAATACGCTAAACCGGTTAAAGTTCCTATACTTAAGGGAGAGCAAGCAAAAACAGCACTTAAAAGAAAAAACTTTCCTTACAGAGAGATGGTAGGAAGTTTGTTATATGCTTCAACAAAAACGAGACCGGATTTGACATACAGCGTGAATTATGCGAGTAGATCTGTGGAAAATCCATTAGAAGAGAATGTTAATGACGTAAAACATATATTAAAATATTTGAGAGGAAATATAGATCACTGTATAAGCTTTGAAAAGAATGGAAATACTAAAGTGCTTGAAGCTTTTTCAGATGCAGACTTTGCTGGAGACATTGAAACAACGAGAAGTACAACTGGCTATATCATATTTTTTGCTGGTGGATCAATTAGTTGGTGTTCAAGAAAACAACCAATAATTGCACAATCAACTACTGAAGCTGAATATGTGGCAGCGGCGGAATGTTGCAAAGAATTGATCTATCTTAAGTCACTACTTGAAGAATTGTTGCATAATGAAATTAAAATTAATATGTATATGGATAGTCAGAGCGCGATAATGTTAATAAAGAATGGAGTAGTAAACAGAAGAAGTAAGCATATTGAAGTTAAATTCAGATATATACATGAGCTTGTAAAGGAAAAGATTATAGAACTTAAGTATTGTCCAACAATTGAAATGTTAGCAGATATATTTACAAAACCTTTAAATAAAACTAAGTTTACTTATCTTAAGGATAAAATAATGAATAAACTTGATTGAATTAAGGGAGAGTGTTAAAAATAATAATTGCTTTCAAGTTTGTTCATTATCATTTAAGTGATTAGATTTATTCTAAATGACTAGAGTTTATTAATTACTAGAATTTAAATGACTAGAGTTATTTGATTTGAGAAGTTGGTGATGAAACAGGTATAAAGAGATACTCGATGTCGAAACACTAGAATGTTTATATTCGTATAATTTTTTGTTTCGACCTTACTCTTTTTCCTGCGATCATGGTGAGCTCATCATCGCTGAACGATATTTGTAATATTCGTAATATTTAACTATTTGATAAGTAAGATCTTGAGCGATATACGGATGATTGAGGTAACAGATTGATTATTAATGTAAATGTGTAATATCAGATATTATCAGATATTGTTATATATTCTATATTTCTAATCAGAGTAGTATGCGATATATGTCTGATGCAAATCAACTATTTTAGCATTAGTTTGATTGTGTTCAAAACATTATATTAAAGTCAGTTACAATAAACTTTGTATTGTTTAAAACTAAAACGTCTACCTAAAGTGAATATATAGAAACTAGTTACGATACTATTTTTTAACACCATGTCTTAAAATAATTGATCCCGGCGACTAAAGAGGTTAGACAATGATTTCGTTCCGGTACCGAAATATTACAGAGTTGCAAGTAAACATTGCTACATGGAACATATATTATTTACTGACCTATTCAATGAAGATCACTGATGACGAAAATATGAAATGAAACTGTAATATGAAACGAAAACTGTAGAAAGCGTAGGGCATAGAAACGCAACAAATCCTGACGTCACTTTTTACTGGCGAGAATGGGAACACTTCTCCAGTCAGTAAGATGACGTCACTCTAGTAATATTATTTTACTGACTGATAAAGGGACTATGGGAAGACAGCCATTGTCAACTTTATAACGCTTAATCTCGGTTCGCGAAGCAGAGCGACACTTTTCTGCCAGATTCTTTCGTTTCATGCAAAACCACATCAATTGAGTGTATTTTTATCAAAAGTTAAGGTGAAGGAATCCAATTTTATTCGGACTGGTCGCAATCGAAAGATACCGATGACATTATATAATAAAAGTGTTTTCAGATTTTTCATTGTGCTTTTAAATTCTGAGTAATTTTAATCTAAAGTTTCAAGATGTGAAAACTCGAGATAAAGCTAGTGGTAGCGTCGTGAATTTGACATCGACATGAACATATACACGCATCAAGTATCATGTCATCATGTCAAACGGTTATATTTTTATTTTATGCACTTGGCGTCGCGACGCTACCGCGTTTTTTTTTGTGACGTGACGTTTTTCGTCCGTCACTTTGTCGACAAATACAAACTTACGGATCCTGCCCTCTCCCGGCTCAGGGGAGGGCGAGCGTATTTGCGTGCGGGCGCGGTCAAGCGCCGCGAAGTTTACGGAAAATTGTTGTATTTATTTTATGATATTTTTCTTTTGTGAGTATTCTTATTAGCGATAGACGTGTTGACGCATGCGCAGGATCATTATAAATTTTAGGGTCCACTTTATACAAGCTTGTATTAAGGGAGTCTAGTAGTATATATAGAAGTCTGTGTCTGTCTCACCCGATTGCCGGAGCAGAAGAAGAACTGAGAAGAAGATTGTCGGAGGCGACGAGCGGAATACTTTCGGAGGCAGGGAAACGCAGGTCGTATAATTACTGTCATTCTGCGTATGCGTCCTCTATTTGCGCCCTCTTCATGCCGATCACTTTTGCAGAGGCCAGTGAGAGAATGCGAGATGTGAGGAGAATCTCCCGAAGTTTAGATCCAGAGAGTCCGCGAGGGCGAGGAACAACAATTAGAGAAAAGGAAACGGGCGCGATGCGACAGACTCAAGGTGCAGTCCCATGGAGCGTATCGCGCGTATCGAAAATCTGACCAATTGCGGACGTTCCGCTATTTTCAATACGCCGTCGTTCCGCCGGATTCATTATTGTAGCGTAATACGCGCCGAATATGAAAAAGTAGTGTAATGGCAGCCCTCGAGATGTGATATGCGCGTAGAATCGTAAGATTGTGTCGAATGTTCCATCATTTTTAGCAAGCGTTGCTAATTTCGATTGTGCCTTGTACGACTGGCCACGTTTACCTCGTCAACGAGGACCTGGGCCATAAACTTAGAGAAGAAGAAGAAACTTGTGTGTGTGATTTGAAATAAAGAAGACAGCGAATATCTGAAAGTTTTTTCTTCGATCGTTGGTAAATATGCTTGATTCATCGATATTTCGTTATTTTGAGCAGTTGAAGCAATAATATACATATAATTTGTGCAATTATCTTGCTGATAATATTGTTGTGAGTTCTCTAAAATATTGAATTGTAACGGTAAAATATATTTTGTAACTAGATTCCTTTCCGTTTTTGCTGAATGGGACGGGTAGAGAAAACTGTCACGGAACGGAACTGGTACGGAATGCTCAATTCTAGTGAGATACCCGATCCGTCATTCCGATCCGTGCTTAATAGGACGGCACCCTTAGGGTGCAGTCCCATGGAGCGTATCGCGCGTATCGCGGATCGCGCGTATCGAAAATCTGACCAATTGCGGACGTTCCGCTATTTTCAATACGCCGTCGTTCCGCCGGATTCATTATTGTAGCGTAATACGCGCCGAATATGAAAAAGTAGTGTAATGGCAGCCCTCGAGATGTGATATGCGCGTAGAATCGTAAGATTGTGTCGAATGTTCCATCATTTTTAGCAAGCGTTGCTAATTTCGATTGTGCCTTGTACGACTGGCCACGTTTACCTCGTCAACGAGGACCTGGGCCATAAACTTAGAGAAGAAGAAGAAACTTGTGTGTGTGATTTGAAATAAAGAAGACAGCGAGTATCTGAAAGTTTTTTTTTTTTAAATAGTGATCAACATGAACAATAACGAAGATATAAATCCTGTAAGTATTTATTTAATATTTTTAAATGTTTGTATTTACATTGTGCTTCATAATAATACTTTGAGGTTAGTTTAAAATTTGATGAAGCATATTTCTTTAATTTGCATTGATTATTTCGGTTTAATATAAATAGGAATATATTTTATTATGAATTACAAATTATCATGTTTATTATTCTATTTTCTTCTTACAGCCAATAAAATGTGGATATTGTGGGTGGTTACTTAATGGATTAATGAATGTTAGCTTGCTACAACATGATTGCTTGAAACATTATAATGAGGAAAAACATTTTTTACATGTTGATGACAACAATGTTGCGTCTATTAGTAAGTATCTAAAACCAATAATTATTTGTAATAATCAAATTCTATGGTAAATGCACATAATACACACTGGTTAAAAGTTTTACTATCTATTTTATTAGTAATTTATTAATGTAAGTCAATTGTACATATAATTAAAATGAATTAATATCCACTCAAATAAATTTCAAAAATTACACATTATATAATTATTTATATGTATATTCATACATATTTCATGTTTACAGTTGAAAAAGATCAATCAACAAACATTCAAACAAGCAATAATAATATTAGTGATTATAATGAAGCACTTGTTAATGCTGTGTACTCTAGACCTGCATTATACGACCATCGTATACCAATAAAAGAAAGGACAAGTCTAAAAAAAAAGGCATTATGGAAAGAAGTCGCAAATTTAATGGGAGGTAATTTTTACAAGTACTTAATATAGGTATATAGTATATTAAATGTTAAATATCATAGAACCGTACTTGTGAGAACACAACCAATAAGAAATATGATATTAAAAGCCTATATCAGTCAAAGCTAGATCTTCGTTGCTTAAATAATTCAAGGCTTTGTAAAAATATTACACAATCTTTTTCTTTTAAACAAATATATATATTGCGTTAAGTATAATATATTTTCCCTTTTAAAAATTAATTCCAATTTTTTATTTTTTAAATACTAAAGAAAATGAAAATATAGAATTCGTCCAAAAACGCTGGAAACAACTTCGCGACAGTTATGTTAAAGCGAAAAAAAGAGAAAACGCATACATACCAAGTGGGTCTTCTGGAAGTGCAAAAAATGACAAGATATCTTTTACTTTGTACAGCGAGATGAAATTTTTAGATGACGTAACAGGAAAGTCGCTGTAAGTATTTTTTGTAAACAGCTTTTTTCAAATAAACATCAAACATCATCTGTTGAATGTC